ATATATAGGATCCATTAATGCAGTTACAAGTATATATATATATAATTTTTATTTTGTTTGCAAATGCTTTAAGAGAACTGTAATCTTAAACCAAAATCGTGACATTTCAAATAAAACAAAATTATTTTTTTAAAAATCCTAAAAAAAATACAAAATTAAAATAACAATGAAAACCAATCCAAACACTTTCTAAAAATGTAAAAATAAGGCACAAAGGCTGTGTTTTTTTTAAAGAGGTGCTGCTGTTCGGGTCAGATACATTTACACCTACAGGAGAGACGGGTCACTATGTGCCCAGTCATTCACATTATATCGTTCACAGTATGTCTTCATGTTTGTGAGTTTTATAATAACTTCCTTCTCTGCTGTCCTGTGAATATTTTAGAGCATTCACCACATTCGGTCGGTCCTAGTGCTGCATTATGAACATCTAAATATTTACATCTGTACTGTCTGATAAACGGCGAGGTGCAGACGGGATATATTTGTTTGAGGACATAGTGCAACGTGTGTGTCTAAATCTGGTCCAAAACAACAGCACAGTCACAGCAGAGAACGAGAGGGACGTGAAAACATCGCATGTGAGATCTGAGCAGGAAAACGCATGGTCAGTTTGGAAGACTTGCATTAGGATGCGGAGTAGAAAACGAGTGTGTTAATAAAGAAGCCTGCATAGCATTTCCTTGTGAGGGGTTTTAAATAGAGATATCAAGTCATTTGATTTCACTTCTGCTTTTTGGAAGCGGTCACAAAACGAAATTCACAGTTCCAGGATCCGCTGTCCCTTTTTCATTTCCATCGATGGGCAATCCGACTCTGCAGACCTGTAGAGAGAGCAAAACAAAACACTTACTCAACCATACTCTCATTTTCACCGAATAGCAAACAAAATCCTGCTTTGCTGAATGGAAAAAATCTAATTATGGCATACCAAGTAACACAAAAAGTCTAAATTATGACAGAAAAAGTAGAAATTCGGAAAAAGTCGGAATAGTTTAATGTCATGTAATGTCATAATTTGGACTTTTTGTCATAATTATGACTTTTTAGGGTGTAATTATTTCATAGTATCCCATAATTTCAACTTATGTCATAATTATCTAATAAAAGTATCTCATAATTGACTTTCTATCTCATCATTTTAAATTTGCATGCCATAATTTGAACTTTTTAGGATATAATTATTACTTAGTCATAATTATGACAAGTCAATCTCATAATTTTGACTTTTTAGGTTATAAGTTTTAAACACAATTATTACTTAGTATCTCATAATTTTGACTTTATATGTCTTTATGTCATAATTATGTCATAATTATGACTTCCGTATCTCATACTTGCTACTTGTCTTAATTATGAATTATACTTTTTTTTGGGTGTAATTATTACGTAGCATCTCAATTTAGATTTATGTCATAATTCTGACTATCATAATTTTACCCTTTAAGTCAAAATGTTCAATTTCAAGTCATTTTTATTTGGTATCTCATAAATTTGACGTTTTAAGTCATAATTACATGGCCTTTTATCTCATTTATCATAACTGCATTGCAACTTTTTATGTCATAATATCTACTTTTTAGGCCACAATTATTACTTAATATCTCATTATTTTGGCTTTTTATGTCATAATTATTACTTTTTAGGTTGTAATTATTACTTATGATCTCATAATTTTACCTTTTAAGTCTAAAATTTTCATTTTTAAGTTGTATTTATCATCTAGTATCTCATTATTTAATCCTCTTTTGTCATAATTATGACTTTTCATATTTATCCATTAATTTTAACTTTTTATGTCATAATTTCTACTTTTTAGGCCATAATTATTACTTAGTATCTCCTTATTTGGGCTTTTTATTTCATACTTTCATATCTCATAATTGCTTATTTTCATTCTTGTGGTGTAAATGACTGAAAGTGTGATTATTTTATTAAAAAAGGAGACGCAATATCATTACTGCTATATTTCCAATGTTTTTCTTTTATTTTATATTTTAACGATTCAGCACATTTGTGATCCTTTGACGTGAGTAACGTACTCAGTAATACAGACGCAGTATATGCAGTATACACAGGAGCTGGCAGGCAAAGAACAAAATGTTCTGAACGTGAGCTGAGACAGCCCAGAGTCTCACAGGCTGCTGTGTGGGGTCAGGGAGGGCTTCTCTGCACAGCTGCAATCATCTCCTCGTCCCAGGCTAAAAGTCTAAGGGAACGGAAAGCGCTTGGGGTGTCAATACACAAAAATACCCCCTTTTACCCCCTAAAACGCCCCCTGTGAGACGAACAGCCAGACTCGCGGCTCATTCCCAGCCAGCTTGTTTTGATGGATGGCTGCCTCCATTCAGGCCGTCCGGGAGAGGAAGGAGGGTTTGGGCCCAGACGTGTTGCGTAACCGCTCTATATGCTCGCTGAAAGAATTACGCACGAGTCACGTCCATACGGCCCGTGCACACGGTTTTTGTATGTTCTCGCCTCGGGACACCGACCCAGCGAGTTTTGATTAAAACTGTGCTATAAAGCCACTTCTAAAATGCATTTAATTTCCTCTGGCCTTTTCAGTTGAATCTCATCCAATGCAAAATCCTTAAAAGAATGCAATAACTCTGCGGGAACGCCATTCCTGTATTACTGATGTTGCATAAAAATGGGTTCTTATACCCAAAACATGAAGCACCTGGTTTCACGTATGAAACTTTGATGTTATTAAGACTTTAATTGTGAATTTCAAGTTAATTAAATTAAAGACTTAAATTTTGACTTCTAGTGGTACTTTGTCCATTCCGTGAATTACTTGCCAGAATAAATGTAATATGTTTTGTTTTATTTTATTATAAATATTTAAATATTTTATATAAAAATATAAATATTTTAGAAAATCTTGATATGGACAATACATTTTTAATTAATCAAATTAATCAGCATATTATTTAATTTTATTAAAATGTACAAATGACTGACAGACCTAAATGTTAATAAAAAAAGAAGGAAGAGGACAAAATACAGTTATAATTATTACTGAAAATAAATAAACATTGCAGATTTAGCTAATTTTACTGATTTAGCTCATTTATAATATTCCAACATGAAAAACAACCACATACATAATAAAATAAATAAATAAATATTATTAATAAAAATAATAAAATAACACAAACATAAACATGGAGAAATTAACTATTATTAATATGAATAATTTACATAATATTACACATTATATTTACATTATTTTAATTAAACCCATATAAACAGAGCCTCAGTATAATTTAAATATAAATGCTAAAGTGGCTTCTAAAATGCATTTAATTTCCCGTGGCCTTTTCAGTTGATTCCCATCCAATTCAAAACCCATAAAAAATGCAATAAACTGATGTTGTATAACCTTTGGTTCCTACCCAAAACATGCAGCACCTGGTTGGGAGTATGTCGCGTATTAAACTCTGACGCTATCGCCTCTGGCAGAGCGCATTCTGCTGCTAAAAAGGTGTCGGATCTTGTTAATCAGATCACTCATGGAGCTTAAGGTGTGGCGTCAGAAAACTAAACAGGCCTGTGAGTTGAGCGATGGGTAGAGCACGGCCGCCTCGCAGGGTACATGCTGCCCCTGAGGCCAAATATGTGGGTTTGATCTGAGAAATACCAAGCAGCAGGAACGATGAGAAATTCTTGAATAGTTGAAGAACTCTGGGAAGCGAACTCAAGATTGGCCTAGCTTGGATTAAAATCAGTTTGGCACTTTAGAGTACTTTAACACTTACGTACTGCAAAGGCTGCCAATAGAGTGCTGAACATATGATGTATTTTGTAGACCTATTTTTCTATTCAATTATTTTGATAGAGAGAAACGAGATACATTTCTAGTTTCAATATTATGTGTTCTTCAGATGTTCTTCTTTAAATACAATAAGTATCAGCTTAGGCCTGGGCGATAAAACGGTATCGATATTTATCGACGGTACACCTTCTTGGATAACGATATAAAAAATGTTCGATATAGCGCACGATATAGGCACGTGCTATGAGTGACGCACACACAAACACATGCTGAATTGAGTGCTGTGCCTGCCTGTGATGAGGAGATTGTGAATAAAGAATGGAAGATCTTGATTAGTTGAAAACCGAAACCAAGCCATTCACAGAGATGCATATTCAGCACACTTTTTAGACGGACAAATATGACTGCTGCACCCCCGTCTCACATAAGAGATGTAGCCATGCAAAGTTAAAACAGCTTAAACTTTGAGAAAAAAAAGTCGCGAATTTGTGGAGGTTTATTCCTTTTCACTGCGTCTCATATGTTTTTAAATGCAATCTGTGTGATGGGCAGTTCAGCTCTTTGGATTAAGCAATGCATAAATACATGATGCTGTTTTGTTCATAATTGTTTATGCAATTTACGAAATTATATTTGATTTTTATGAGTTATATCGTTGATACATTTTTTAGCTATATCGCCCAGCCCTATATCAGATGTATGCAAAGTGACCCACATTTGGTTTTTGACCAATGAAAATGTGCACAATTTAACAATTGGTTAGATTTGTTAAATTATGGAGCCATATTGAGATCCCAATATCTCTGGAAATGAAGCATATAGGACCTTAAAAATAAGGATACAAAAAAACAGCTTGTTAACAGACAAAATCTAAAAGGATATTAAGATATCTTTAATACTTCGTGAGTTACAGATGCAATCTTTGGTAAAAACAAAAAAAAAAGTGTTTATTTACTCTAGTAAATATACATCTATGACACTGAATATTTTGGCTTTTATCACTATTCATGTTTATCTCCAGAAAAAAAATTACAAAATTAAAAATCTGAGTCAGGGAAGTTTCTGAAATTTGTTCGAATTGACACAAAATTACACTGAATATATCAACACGTCAGCGCTGTATAGACGGTTTCAACGGCAACAACATAAACAAACATTGCTGCGCATGCGCGCTTTTGTGGCCCGAACATAACTTCTGTTAGTCTTCCGCAAAGAATCAATAACAACAGCAAAGTACCTGTAGAGTAGATTATTTCTGATAACAAGCAAAATATGTTTGCTGCGTAAATCAGACGGGCTTATTAAACATGCAAATTCATTCTCTGCCAGCAGGAGGCGCTTTCAAATGACGGTCATTGCGACACTGTAAAGTGATGGCGCTATAGAGCCATGTGCTTTTTTAAAACATTTTATTAGGTTTAACATTAGATTATCAGCTCGGAATATATGCAAATTTGACTAGAAACACTGGAGAACGGAAATGCAAAGCATCATTCCAGTTAAGAGTCAGACGTGACTTCCGTGTTCAGGAAAAACGTCTATATGCTTAATACATTTCAACAACCCAAGAGGTCTTGTTTTCATGCATTATGGCAGAGGTCCCCAACCACCGGGGTTGCGACCCACTAGCGGGCCGTGGAAGAATTGCTACCGGGTCACAAGAACGTTCTGGGAAAAATAGATATGACACTCTGTTATTTATTTATATTAATGATTGTTCTAATTATTCTGTATTTTCATTGTATGCGATTGATATGGAGTAGCAATTTGACAATTTCATGTATAAGGCTATATATAACCCCCCCACCCGCCCAGCCGGTACGTGAGAATATTTTCCAAACATAACCGGTCCGTGGTGTAAAAAAGGTTAGACACCCCTGCATTATGGGATTTAAACTGCACTCTTGACTTTTGGTCTGAGGTGAACAAAAATGGTGAATACAACATCTAAACTAAAACCAAGAAATTGCAACCCACCTGAAAAATCTGCGTGCTCGTTTCGGCCAATGGGTGCGGCTTACACCGCTCATGTCACTTGGTCCATTCTAACCTCCAACTGAGACGCATCAGGACGGTCCTGCGGGTTGACCGCCAACATGTCCTGCAGAAGCCGCTTGACGCCTTCAGACATGATGCTCCGCGTCTTCTGCGGGATGTTCAGGACCATCTTTGGGTTCTCCAGCAGGGCCTCGCCCACCGGGACGATCTCGGTCCCCTGGCGGACGTACGTGCCGAGGAGCTCTCGCTTGGACTCGGCGTCGATGAACGTGATCCGCTCGATCATGGCCCAAATGATGATGCCGAGTGCGAATATGTCCGCTTTGGCAGTGTAGTGGCCCTCCCACACCTCCGGAGCCATGTAGAAGTCAGAGCCACACGCTGACGACAGCCAGAATTTGTTAATGTTCACCATGTTTTTGTTCACCTGGTTGTCGCCTTCGCTCTCCATGCAGCTGAGTCCCGCGCAAACCTTGCTGAGGCCGAAGTCGGCGACCTTGATGACCGGATCGCCGGATTTCTGCGAGATGAGAATGTTGTCTGGTTTGAGGTCCCGGTGGACGATGTTGTTCTTATGGAGGAAGGCCACAGCGCTGGTCATCTGCTTCATGAAACTACGGTTGGTCCACGGATCAGGCCGCCGCGAGAGGATATACTGGTTGAGGTCGCCGCCGTCACAGAACTCCATAACAAACCAAAGATAACACGGTTCCTCGGGGTAACCCAAGATACGCTCACCTGGAATGATAGTAGAATGCGGTTAGCGACACTTCGGCTAACCAAGGCTGCATTTATTTGATTAAAAATGCAGTAAAATCAGTAATATTGTGAAATATTATTACAATTTAAAATAACCGTGTTCTATTCGAATATATTGTAAAATGTCATTTATTCCTGTGATCAAAGCTGCATTTTCAGTATCATTACTCCAGTCTGCGGTGTCACATGATCCTTCAGAAATCATTCTAATATGCTGATTTGCTGCTCAAGAAACATGTCTGATTATTATTAGTCAGTCAAATTATGATTATTATCAGTCAGTCAAATTATGTATTATTATGTTAATCAAAATTGAAAGCAGTTTCAGAGATGGAGCAAAGATTACAAAGACAATAATGTGCACCAATTTATCCTTTAAAATAAGATTAGAAATGTGTATTAGTAAAGTAAATATGGTTAATAATAGCATCTAACATATAGCATCTAATATTTTTCTTTTTTAAGTTTTTGGTACTCTTGGCTTTTTTGAATGTAAAAACCCAACTTCGGAGGACAACAATATTTTCCAATTGATTCATTTTTCTCGAAAGGAAAATGTCAGAACCAGTGTTATTTTAATATCACTGAGGTACTATAGTTTTTATTAAGTATATTTTAGATTTGTTTGTATATTTAACTATTTTATTATTTCTTATTTATTACTATATTTTGATAAACTTTTTTATATTCTCCTTATTCCTTTTAATTTTAGTTAAAGTTTTAGTAATTGTGTTGTGTGTTTTGTTTATATCTTTATTAGTTTACATTTTTTTATATGTCTGTGTAATTTTTATTCATTTTTATTTCAGTTTTAGTTATTTTAGTATATCAAGTTAAACTAAATAAAAGTGAGAAATGTTGCCTTGGCAAGTAGGCTAGTTAATGCTTTTTTAATATATTTTATTTTATTGTAGTTTCTTTCAAGTAATGATTTTTTTATGGCTTTATTCTTAATTAACTCTAATAACCCTGGTTAGAACTAGCATTTGAGGTTAGTGTAAACCACTGGTGGCAGATCAAACCCACTCCATAATCTCCTCATGTGCTTCATTGAGTTATTTGTGCTGAGTCAGACGAAATGGCTCTTTATTGAATGTCGCTGGTTTCTAACTGATAAGCCGCTGTTTCGGACTCGTTAACAAACAGATTTGGTTGTGTTTGTTTAATCCCAGTCCTGTTCAAACTACGGCAGATTTACTGTTCATACTCCGAGCCTTAGAACTAAATTGTTGGTTTAGCTGACTCAGACAGGCTAGCAAAACACCAATCAGACTTTAGCTGAGCACAGATTTCCGCTGAGCGGCATGTTTGGAGGCTTTTCAAAGAGCACTGTATGAGAGTACAGTACACCCTGATAATCTGTCTGTGTTCTGTGATAACAAACATCGTTTGACTTCAGGAAACAAGGGTTAGGAAAATGCATGGAGAACAGGTGGACTCTGACCCATACAAATGCTGTAAGAACTTATAAACACTTGTTACAGGTAGACTTGTGCCGGTATTCGGTAATGCGATATATCACGGTAATGAATATGCACGATATTGTTATCGTGGGCACTTCTAAATACCGTGAACTCCCATAATGGGGAATTTTAAAAATGACAATTTCCAGGGCTCAAAAAATTATATAAAATAATAAAACCTTTTAAAAATCATGAAAAAAACCCAACAAAAACAGAAATTTTATTTATATTGCCAATTTATATTTTTCAAATTATGCACCACTCTAAAAAATTGCAAATTTTTATTTTTTTTATGATTGCAATGACTTAAAAATTATTCTCAAAACTGACCTATGATTACAGGTAACAAATGCAGAATGACTGCTCTGTAATAAACATAAAATCTTAAAAATTCATGAAAAAATTTGGAAATGCAGAGTTAATGCACCACCCTACAACATTTAATGAGTCCGATTTTTTTTATTTTTATGGAGCAATGATTTAAAAATGAATCTTGATCCTGTAAATGTCTGTCAACTCTGCACAATGACAGTATATTAATACATCTACTAGAAAAATAAAGCAAAAGTGACTCAAATTGCACACAGTGATCAAGAAGAAATACTTTAGGTCAAAGAGCTTTGGCTGGCAATAAAAAAAAAAAGGAATTCTTGCGATAAACTAAGTTGTGATCCATAAATGTGTTTATTAGCCAAATGACCTACTGATCACAAGTCACAAACACCATTTTTCTTTTGTGCCAAAAATCATTAGGATATTAAGTAAAGACCATGTTCCATTAAGCTATTTTGTAAATTTCCTACCATAAATATATGAAAACTGAATTTCTTGATTAGTAATATGCATTGCTAAGAACTTAGTATTACTCAGTATTTTGATTTTTTTGCACCCTCAGTTTCCAGATTTTCAAATTGTTGTATCTCAGCCAACTATTGTCCTGTCCTAACAAACCATACATCAATGGAAAGCTTAAAGCTTTCAAGTGATGTATAAATCTCAGTAAAAAAAAAAAAATAAGACCCTTATGACTGGTTTTGTGGTCCAGGGTCACATATAAGTTTTCTGACAACAAAATAAGTCACACTCATTTGAGAGTAATGGCATATATAATAGTTTTTATTTATAGAATTGTACAGCATTTTAATAAGGGGAGCGAGTGTGATTGTAAATGGGCTGACATCTGGATAAAATACTAGAAAATAAAATTTTGTCCAATAAAGCAATAATAGCCTATAAATATGGGGAACAAACACATATTTTGAATAAAAAAAATGTG